CAGACGTGTGTGAAATGGTCGTTCCTCGAGGTATGAGATCATGTGGCAGCGTGACCCGACCCTCCCATCTATCATTGTTGACGCCTTGGCAAGAGTACGCCCGAGGGGTGACCTTCGTTCGGTGGCTAAGTTGGTCAAGAGCGTGTTGCTGGATTTGAAGGAGTGGAGCTCCAAGAATTTTGGCAATGTACTTCGTGATATAGAGAAATTAAGAGTTGAGCTTGAATCACTTCAATTACTTAATGCTGATCAGGCGAAGATTCGAGAGAAAAAATGAATCAATTGGATGAACTCCTTTACCGCGAGGAGATGCTTTGGCTTCAAAGATCACGGATAACCTGGCTAAAGGAAGGGGACAAAATACCTCCACCGTAGATCTGTATGGCGGGCGAGGAGGAATTTTGTTCAGAGATTAAGAAAACAAGATGGGACATGGTGTTCAGCTCCCACATGCATGGAGAGGATGGCGTCTTCTTACTTTCAGGAGGTTTATACTAAAGACCCCCACTATTTCTCCAACCTTGATGTTGGATTGTATGGCTTCTAAGGTAACCGCTGATATGAACATTTCATTATGTGCACCATTTACTAAACAGGAAGTGTCAGATGCATTATTTCTGATCGGGCCTCTAAAAGCACCGGGGGTGGATGGTCTCCCCGCTAGGTTTTATCAGAGAAATTGGACGATGCTTAAGGTGGAAATTATAGCGGCGGTTTTAAGATATATATTTTTTTTGAAACTGGGTCTATGCCAGAGGGAGCGAATGTTACTGCAATTGTCTTAATACCCAAAGTGTAGTACCCAAAAGAGATGAAAGATTTCAGACCAATTAGCCTTTGTAATGTGGTTTACAAGATTGTCTCGAAGTGTCTAGTAAATCGTCTCAGGACTCACCTGACCGAGTTAATTTCTGAAAATCAAAGTGCTTTCATTTCAGGGAGACTTATTTCAGATAATTCTATAATTGCATTTGAATGCATTCATCATATCCATACACAGAGAAGCTCACCACTGTGTGCATATAAGTTGGATCTGTTGAAGGCCTATGACCGTGTGGATTGGGACTTTCTGGAAGGCGCCCTAATCAAATGGGGTTTTGCACCATAGTGGATTTATCTTCTCATGGCTTGTGTGAAATTAGTGAAATACTCGGTTAAATTTAATGGGAAGTTGTTGGATTCTTTCATACCCACGAGGGGGCTTCGTCAAGGTGACCCTTTGTCGCCTTTTCTATTCTTAATTGTTGTTGACACCTTGTCTGCTTTTGTGCATAAGTATGTGGCGGAGATGGGCCTAAGGGAAGTGACTATTTGTCGTAGGGCCCCTACTATCACACATCTGTTATTCGCAGATGACTCTCTTTAATTTTTTGAAGCGTCACCACAACAGGCAATGTTGATTAAAGATTTGTTGAGCACTTATTCGTTTTCAACGGGACAACTCATAAACCCCTCAAAGTGTTCCATTCTTTTTTCTGACAAATGTCCTAGTGCGGTGATGGATGAAGTGGAAGGAGTTTTGGATATCTCTCAATAGGTGTTCGACCCAAAGTATTTGGGTCTGCCGGTTCCCGATGGAAGAATAAATAAGGGTATGTTTGAAATAGTGCAGGTCAGCCTCAGTAAAAGTCTTGGTGATTGGAGTGGGCAGTATATGTCTTCTGGTAATAAGGAAATTCTGATAAAAGCAGTTGCCCAAGTAATTCCCACATCTGTTATGAGTGTTTTCGTTTGCCCGCATCGGTCTGTGATGATCTTACTCGTATGATGCAGCAATACTGGCGGGGAGTTGAGAAGGGCAAAAGGAAGATGGCATGGCTGAGTTGGAATAAAATGGTATTACCAAAGTCTAAAGGGGGTATGGGTTTCCGTGATATGTGTGCTTTTCACCAGGCTCTTCTAGCAAAACAAGCATGGAGACTGTTGGACACCCCATAAAGCTTATGTGCACGTTTATTGCGTGCGAAGTACCCAGAGGGTAATTTGTTAGATACAATCTTTTCTGGGAATTCGTTGGCTGTCTAGAAGGGGATTGAATATGGACTTGAGTTGCTCAAGAAGGGTGTGATTTGGCGAGTTGGTAATGGGCAGTCTGTTAGAACGTGGCGGGACCCTTGGATCCCTAGAGGCCCGTCCTTCAGACCAATTACACCATAGGGCAGTTGCAGGCTCAACTATGTTTCAGACTTCTTGGATGAACATGGTGTATGGAATTCTGAACTTTTATCACAAACTTTTTGGCCAATGGATGTTAAGGAAATTTTGAAAATCAGGGCGTCACCAAGGCAACGGGAGGATTTTATTGCCTGGCAGCCAGAGCGCACAGGCATGTTTACTATTTGTAGTGCTTACCATGTAGCCATGAGTACACATGAGGACCAATTTGGTAATGAAGCCTCTAGCTCCTGTCCGGATGGGTCGAGGAGACTTTGGAATCTAGTTTGGCAAGCTAAAGTTCCACAAAAGATGAACATTATTGCATGGAAAGCGAGTTCCGGAGCATTGGCAACAACAAAAAATAAATCTATCCATCATCTACAGATGTCCACTATGTGGTATACATGAAGAATCATCTTTCCACACGTTAGTGACATGTGATCACACCGTTGGTTTATGGGAGTGCATGCGCCAGTTTTGGCCGTTGCCGCTAAAATCTACACTTTGTAGTTTTGGCCGTTGCCGCTAAAATCTACACTTTGTGATACGGACCAGGATTGGCTATTGCTAGTACTTGATAAGTGCCAAGAGGACACCCGGAGCATGATTATTTTATTATTATGGCGCATATGGCATGTACAAAATGACATAGTGCATGGGAACGAGGTACCTCCGATTACTACGTCTGTAGAGTATCTATGCAACTACTGGCAATCTATTAATGCAGCCCAAAGGTACTCCGTGGAAGATATCCTAAAGGGCAAGATGCCACTTATTATCGAAACAGTTAAGGCCACGCCAAGGATTCCTAATACACTTGCCTGGACGCCTCCTCCGGTGGGTAAGGTGGCGCTCTCGGTCGATGGCGCTTTTTCTGAATCGGATGGCACTGCGGCCTCAGGGATGATCTTACGGCACATTGATGGGACTGTCATATTTGTTGCGTACAGGTATTGTTCAACTGTAATAATGCACTGAAAGCGGGGATACATGCGATGACGCAAGGCGTGGCTCTTGCACTACAACACACCAGGCTTCCAGTCATCGTGCAGTCAGATTCGTCTATGGCACTATCTATTTGAAAGGTGAATCTCTCTTCGGTCACCATACGGCCATCTTGCCCTGGAGATCAATGCCCTGAGAGAGGGCCGGGAGTTTATTCCACAGAAAGCTTCACCATACCCAAAATAGAGTTGCAGATTGCTTAGCGAGATATAGTCGTACTGAATGTAGCACAGCTGTCTGGCTACATAGAGGGCCCCCGTGTACCGAGGATTTCTTGCCTCTCAATTGCAACTCTATCATTTTGGAATAAAACTCTTTTTAGCCCCGCAAAAAAGAAAGCAATGGAACTCTCAGAAATCAGTTCGCTGAACTGCATGAGGTATGCCATGAACAAAAAGTCTTTGTTGGGGAGATGGCTAATAGGAACTGGATTCTCAGTTGTAGGAAATGGCTAATTGCTGATCAAATGATCCAGCCGAACAGGCTAAGGAGAATTCTTCTTCCTGTAGCTATAAGGGATGTGGGTGAGGATATTTCTAGATGGACATGGAATATTAAGAAGAAATTCACTGTTAAATCTGTCTACAACCATTTGTATGACATGGGTCAGGACAGATCTTTCAAGCATTTGTGTAAAACTGAGATTCCATTAAAAATAAAAAACCTGGTTGTGGCTAATTTGGCATAATGCTATAGCTATCAAGGACAATATGCTGAAAAGAAACTGGGCAGGTGACCCTTTGTGCCGATTCTGCCCAGAGAATGAGGATATTAATCACCTCTTCTTTGGCTGGAACCTGTAGGTCTTTCCGTTTTTGGTTGTTTCTCGTTTTGCATCAAGACGCTTTATATTTGTTCAATTATCTGATGATAGATTGATAGTGGAACCCAATCCAATATGGATTGTATTGAAGAAGAAAAATCTCGCTGCACATTCTGTCGGTTGCCAAACACGCCCATAGTTTTGTTATTTATTTTCTGGATTTAGGTAGGTTATTTAGTTCATACAAAAAAGTCATTAACTTCCACTTTCGTGTAGCAAACTACGTACAACATAAGTTCAACACAACAACCATAAGCTAAGCCCATTGCTGAAAACCTGGAAATGCTCATTAAACTAAATGTACCAGAACCAAAGTACCGAGAATGCGTTATATAAACCTATTTCCAGAAACATAATACAGGATAATTACATTGTTTAATTTACAGTTGAAGATCCCTACACATACTCCACAACATGTGCAATGCACTGATTGGGATGAACCCTGCAGATTCAGATGTAGATTAGTTGTTTTTTAGCCAAGCAATGATATAGATCAATTGACAACCCTCTTTTTGATAAATTTAAACAAAGCTTCGCTTCAGCAACTATTACATCAGATAGCTTCAAGAACTTACACTTCTTCAATAGATCCATCGTTAATTGCATGAATTCAGTGGAATTCTTTGGGCTTGCTGCTTGAGGTTTTTCCACATTTCATCTGCAGATGCACAACATGGTCAGAAACTCGAATAGTCTTATCAGCTAATATAGATAATCAATGAAATGAACCATTTAGGTCATGGATATTCGAGAATACGTAGGAAACAGAAAAGCATATCATTGTGTAGTAAATACAAATATTCTAAACATCATACCTGATTCTCATGCTAAATTTAATAAGAGCACTTCAAAAAGAAAAGATTGTAATAAGGAGTAAAGATATATTATTCTCTTCTTTCTTCCTTGAAATATTAAACAACAAGCTCTCATTAACTAATTGCCATAAATCCCAATTGTAAGAACACTAAAAAGCTACTCCATCCCCAAAATGAATGGTGCTTTTGGCTTTTCAGTCTTCAATGTATGGCTTTGATTACTGGATATTCAATTTGGTGCCCGGGCTCATCTGCACCCGGTGAATAGTAAATTCAAAAAAAATACTTTCAAAAACTTATGAGAAAAATTAGGTGAAAGATGTTCCAACGCGTGATGTTCCTGCCAAATTTCAACTAGTTCGGACATCCGAGGAGCTCATGGAAAAAAAGATAAAAATCGGTCAAAACAGTATGAACAGTAACCTTTCTTACAGCCCTAAATTTTGTCCTTTCTGCTGAGAGCTACTGAAATGTCCAAACTCCACGAAATTTGGCACGGACTTCATGCACATGAGCATCTAGCATCACAAAAAAATTCATTTATTTTTTCCACCATTTTAAATGAATTTACTGTTCACCTCTGGTGCAGATGCACCCGAGAACGCCGCATCCAAATCTCTTATAGTATGTCTACAAAGTTAGTATCAAGACATGGTATTTTGCAAGATAAACACAACGATACCATTCGTATCCGCCTAATCCATATACTTTGGTGTAGTGCATCGAAGACCGCGAACAGTCAAGCATGCCTTACATTTTGGAGGGAGTAATTTAGGTGTGGCATGCAACCACGCATGCCCAAAGTGACATGCAACCTAAGTACTGCGTCTGTTTCAAGATATCTATTTTCAGTCTGCCATGCGCACAGGCCAAGAAAATAATTCATCAAAAATGATTGTGCATTTATGCATACCTTAGTGAAATGGCATGCTGCAACAATTTAACATCTACCAGCACAATTTTCATACAAATCCAAATGGCTTAGTGTGTATTAGTGGTCAGAGTTTTAAAAATTTGACTGCACATTCCATGGCAAGATCTATTAACAACATAGGTAGTATCACAAATAATAAAGTACTACCTCCGTCCCAAAATATAAGACGTGCAAAAAGTCTTATATTTTAGGACGGAGGTAGTATTATGTTGGCAAGGTTTAGTTTGTATTAGTGGTCAGTGTTTTAAAAATTCGACTGCACATTCCAAGGCGAGATCTATTGGCAACAGAGGTAGTATCTCGAATAATAAAGTATTATGTTGGCAAATAGTCAGGGTAAGGTACACTGCAACTATCATTTAACAAATAACATCACAATAAAAGAGTGGAGCGAAACATGCCTTTAAATATGTGCAACAGATGATGTCATTATGTATTAGCCATGGTATATTTTCGAACAAGCTGCTCATATAATGGAAGATGATTCTTAGAAACGAAGACCCTGAACCTGTAAGCAGATGAAAACAAGATATTTCAAAGGTTTGATACTCCCTCCGTCCCAAAATAAGTGACTCAACTTTGTATTAACTTTGTACTAAAGTTGAGTCACTTAATTTGGGACAGAGGGAGTAGTTAATTCTCTGTCAGTCCTGAGCACAGTAAATAATGAAGATTACAGCACATGTAGTTTTACCCTTCAAGAAGTGTGAGTCGCCCTGGAGAAGAAAACAGTTTCGCTATTGCTTCTAGTGAGTCTTTGATGTGCATGGTTTTCAATTTTAAGGCCTTCATAAATTCAACAAACTCTCCATACTCTGCAGTACTGAGCTTTTCTCGAGCCTAATAGAAATATCCAAAGCTAAGGATTATTATCTCATACATGAGTGCAAAAATAAACACATTAACAAGATAGCAGTTACTCCGCAAAGCGCAAGACAAAATCAAATTACAGAGAGCAAGCACAAGCAGCATACCAGCTTCAAGAAGGCCGGTCCAGTAGTAGATTCCTGGCCTCCACATCTTTCTTGAATAGCCTCATTCTTTTCACATGCTTGTTCAATGGTACTTCTTTTTGATGGAGGTGTAGATTGTTGACCTCGGTTTCCAGTCAAAGCTCTCGACTCAACATTATGTTTCAATTGTGAAGAGACATCTGCTATTTTAGCCTTCTTAAGCCTCATAGACTTTAAGGTATGTTCCTTCAATTGTCCATGCATGGTCGCATTATCGGTCAAATCAACAACCTGAGAATCCTGAGAAAATTGGCCCCTTGAGGATGCGAGCTGTGAAGAAGTGGAACAGCCATGTTTCATAGGAAGGGTAGTGCGATTGGCAGGAGTGATCTGGGTAAACTTCATATAGTTGTTTTTTCTGGTGGTTGCATTCAATGATACTGTAGTTCCCCGGTGCTCATTTACTGCTGTGGCAGGCTAGCAAGAGATAGAATATCATCTATAAACCGGAAGTACTAAACGGAATACTGATTATCGAAGTGAATGCAAAGTATATAGACATACCGAGTCAGATAGAATCTCCTGCGGCAGACATTTGTCTGCAGGCGGTGTAACGCTATCTGCATGCAACAGCATTTTTGCAATTCTTAAATGGTAACTAAAAAATATCAATAAAGTAAGAAATTAGCATAAACAATGTTGCAGATCAGCCCAAATACAATACTCTCTCCGTTCCAAAATATATGGTGTATTAAGTTTTTTCAAAAGTCAAACATGCACAGCCCAAATTCAATATAATAGTAATTAAACACAGCAATTCATAGCATATAAACCAGAACAGCAAGAAATGTCATGTTGTTCATTTCCATTGTTGTGCTGTACAACATGGACCAACCTATAATCAGCATTCAACAACCGGTTTAGTCACCATTTAAGCCCATGTTTAGCAAGCTTCAAAGATCAAACCATCAAGAAGCAAACCAGGCAAAAGTTGAAATAACAATCAATTAAATATTTCAGCGGACGTCAACTGGCATTAAAAGAATGACAAAAGCAAACAAAGAGTATCATCTCAAGATTCAAAACAGGGTCCTTACCATTACAGTCCATCTCTTTTGGGTCTACACAAACTTTATCCCGGAAAAATCTTGTCAATGTTTGAACTACTTCCCCATACTTAGAGTAGCACTGCAGGGAAAATATTAGTAGAGATATCTCAAAGAAGCAGGATAAAATCAATAAGCATACCTTTATACACAAGGAAATATTAGTAGAGATATCTCAAAGAAGCAGGACAAAATCAACAAGCATACCTTTATATAAGGTTTGAGCCAGTAGGACATCTGGGATTGGTAATTTGGCCACACAAACCTGCAAATCATGTGCAGTGTCAAGAATCTCACTTAATTCAAAAGGATAGCTCTTAAAAATTCATTAAAAAGCTTTCTGACCACATGAGATTCAAGATAAAAAGCCATTGGACATAGTGTAACCATGTGATCCTTGGAATTCTATATGTTAAGTTGACCTTAGATAACAGAACCAAACAGGATATCTTGATATTTCAAGGTGATCCTTTTCAAGGATTATTGGAAGTGTCTTCTTATGCTAGGTGGATTGTCTCCTTCAAAAGGGACATTTGGCACATTTCTCATTGACTGGTTAAGCTCTTTAACAATGTAAGGGCTAGGGTTGCTGCAGAAATGTCATCTGGAATGCTAAAACAGCAGACATGTAAACAGAGGAAATGCACAAAGTAAACGCGGAACACTGAAAACACTTTATTGTGGTGTTATCCCATTGGGAGGTTTAGCAGAAAACTATGCATATACTCCTTGCAAGGAACATTTAACTGGATTTAGACCTTTCGTCACAGTAAATAATTGCTCCATAGTCATGGCGATGTCTGATGACGCGTCCAACAGCCTGATTGACAGCCCTTGCTGCTTGTTGTACATACCACTCCTCTCCTGTCAAAGTCTACAAGATGTTTAAAATTCATTTTAAATTCCAAGTATGTAAGCAGAGGGATGGAATTACATTACAACAACAACAACAAGTAAGCCTTTAGTACCAAACAAGTTGGGGTAGACTAGAGCTCATGGTTCTGGCACGTGGATAGCTAACTTCCGCACACCCCTGTCCATGGCTAGTTCTTTGGTGATATTCCAGTCCTTCATATCTCTCTTTGCAGACTCCTCCCATGTCAAGTTTGGTCTACCCCCGACCTCTCCTGACATTATCAGCACGCTTACCGTCCGCTATGCATTCGAGCTTCTGAGACACTTTAACCGTTCGCTACGCATTCGAGCTTCTGGAGACGCTTTAACCGTCCGCTATGCATTCGAGCTTCTGGAGGCCTGCGTTGTATATGCCCAAACCATCTCAGACGATGCTGGACAAGTTTCTCTTCAATCGGTGCTACCCCAACTCTCACGTATATCATCATTCTGGACCCGACCCTTTCTAGTGTGGCCACACATCCATCTGAAAATCGCATCTCCGCTACACCTAACTGTTGAACATGACGCCTTTTAGTCGGCCAACACTCAACGCCATACAACATTACGGGTCGAATCGCCGTGCCATAGAACCTGCCTTTTAGCTTTTGTGGCACTCCAGAAGCTTTGTGCCACTTCATCCATCCGGCTTTGATTCGATGGCTCACGTCTTCATCAATATCACCATCCTTCTGCAGCATTGACCCCAAATATTTAAAGGTGTCCTTCTGAGATACCACCTGCCCATCAAGGCTAACCTCCTCGTGCCTAGTAGTATTGAAACCACACCTCATGCCTAAAACCTTTCAATTCCAAAGTTTCCTCCATAGCTCTAACTTCCTATTAACCCCCGTCCGACTATCGTTGACTAGCACCACATCATCCGCAAAGAGCATGCACCATGGGATATCTCCTTGTATATCCCTTGTGACCTCATCCATCACCAAAGCGAAAAGATAAGGGCTCAAAGCTGACCCTTGGTGCAGTCCTATTTTAATCGGGAAGTCCAATGTCGCCATCACACCATATGAAGGTCCTTCTTATACTGAGGGACAACACTCTCTCCAGGTATCACCTTACAATCTCGGAAAGCACGCATGTCTCTTTTTAAAGAGGGTGTTAGCTATGATCATGACGTAGGCTACAGCTAAGCTTAAGACATCTTCTCCTTAATTCCTGATGCCTTAGCCAAACCACCATGCACCCCTACGAAACATGTGTTAGATGTACCCACGTGGCCATTGAGGTCTCCTCTTGTTAAGAGGCTCTCGCCAATAGGTACACTCATAACCTTGTCTTCCACGCATTCCCAAAACTACCTCTTGGTGTTCTTACTGTGGCCTACTTGCGGGGCATAAGCGTTGATAACATTAAGAACTAAGTCCCCAACTACCAGCTTCACAGGGATGGAATTACATTGCATGCATAAAGTACATTTGTTTCAAGTTCCCGATATAAACACATCTAATTGATTAAAGGAACAACAATATGACTAAGGAACTTTTTCGGCGGAGGTTTATTTTTTAAAGCAAGACGGCCTAAATGGCACTTAGACTATTGATCATGTATAAGATTAGGAAGAGTGATAACTTCTACCACAAATTTATTTGAAAGGTTCCATATCAAAGAAAATATTGCTGGAAGCCCGTCAGACTCCACCTATCGAGGACTAGACATAGGAAATGCTGAAAATGAACTTGTGCAAGCCCTTGGATATATATTCTCATGGATGTGAACTGCCTAAAACCTGTAGAGGGTAGTGTTGGACGCTAGTCCTTTTACCCCGAGAGTGAGTAGTTTCAGGTACCTTCTTGAGCCAGCCATGCTACCATGGGGGTATTTGTCAAGGATTCAAGTTCGTTGACCCTTGCCTGATTCAAAAAAAGGGGCCTACCATGCTCTAGAGCTTGTAGGGATTCATGATCAAGGATGGACTTCATCGGCAATGCAGTTCGAATCCAGATTTCAGGCTTCACATCATCGTGCGCATCAGCCAGACTACCATGCTCTAGAGCTTGTAGGGATTCATGATCAAGGATGGACTTCATCGGCAATGCAGTTCGAATCCAGATTTCAGGC